CTACTAACTATTAACTACTACTACTACTACTACTACTACTACTACTAACTACTACTACTACTACTACTACTACTACTACTACCACTACCAGTACTACTACTACTACTACTACTACTACTACTACCACCTACCACCAGTATCATCGAAGAACACCATTTTTTGGTAGCAGAACTGGCGCCTTTTCAACTTTTCCGGCCGTAGAGTTTACATCCGATGTGCTCCACTCCAAACCCTTAAACTTCCACAAGCTCTCAGATTTGATTTAGGGTTTAGGGTTCAGGGGTTTAGGGTTTAGGGTCCGGCACCAAATCTTAGGGTTTAGGGTCTAGCACCAAATCTCAAGCAAAGCCTATGTCCCTTCCCCTTAAACGCGAGGTCCTAAGCTTTCCTTACACTCAAAACCCATCAAGCTCTAGATTCCTGTAAAGCCCTTACGACTCTTCCTAGAGCCTGCTGTTAGGGTCTACGGTTTAGGGTTAGCCCGTCCTAAACCCAAGAACACGGCGCAGCCCTAAACAATCCTACCCCCATATCCTAGACCCTAAACCGCACCTGCCCCTGCATGATGGTACACTCATTGGAGTTCTGCTTACCCCTGAGAAAAACCAAGGGCCCTTAAGAACCCTAAACCCTAAACCCTAAGCCCGACCCTGCACACTAGACCCTGCACCCTAAACCCTAAACCCGAAACCCTAAACCCGAAACCCTGGACCCTGCACCCTAAATCCTAAAGCCTAAACCCTAAATCCTAAATCCTAAACCCTGGACCCTGCACCCTAAACCCTAAGCCAGAAACCCTAAACCCTGCACCCAAACCTTAAACCCTAAACCTTAAACCCTAAACCCTAAACCCCAAAACCCTAAACTCCAAACCAGAACACCCGGAGCGGCTTGAGGAAGTCCTCGTGGTATCTGACTGGGATCGGAGTTCGCCGAAAGCCGGAGGCCGGAAAGGGGTTTAGGGTTTCTATGGTTTAGGGTTTCTATAGAGGATTTTTTTTATATAACGGGTTAGAGTTTAGGGTTTAGGGTTTAGGGTTTAGGGGTCTAGTGTTTAGGGTAGAGGATTTTTTATGTTATATGGGTTACGATAAGGGTCATTGTCAGTGTGATTTAGGGTTTAGGGTTTAAGGGTTGCTACAAGTGTTGCTATAGGGGTTACTAGAAGAATTTCTACAAAGGTTGCTGCAATAGTTCCCGCAAGCGGTTCCCAGGCAGGTTTTAGTAAGTGTGATTACTTTCGGGCTGGGGGGGACTCTGGATGGGCTGTGCAAGGGCTTATATATATATATATAATAGGGTTTAGGGGTTTAGGGTTTACGGTTTTGGATATATAGAGGTCGTTGGTGGGTTGTAGAAGGCCACCGCCGAGACGTGCACATCCTTTGGAAAAGAAGGATGTCATTATCTCCTGAAAAACCAAGGACTTAAGAGTATCTCGCAAACCTGAACAGGGCGCCGTAGCAAAACAAGCTGGAGGTTCCTAGTGCCGAAGGGCTCCTCATGAAAGAGCCCTTTGCTAAGGCGTGGGGTTGCAAAACCAAGACTACTAACCCCAGTGAGGGTAACGCCTTGAAGGGGAAGGTCAAAGCCCCATGCCCGAATCCAAAAAGCCTTGGATTCTCAACTCAGAACCACAACAATGCTCATCAAGTCCGAATAAACGCCATAGAGCCCTTACCTTATCAAAGAAGATGAAACTTTCTCAGAACCTTTTTTCAAAAGCCTTTAACGAGCCACAAAAAGCCCACATACATGCCTGCGCTGTCTGCAGCTTTCATGTACCTCTCCTTCTACCTCTTCCGCACCCATGCGATGCCGGAATCGGCTGCTGCCTGGACATCGGCCATGTGTCTGCTGGAGGCAGGGTTTAGGGTTTAGGGTTCGGGTTCAGGCTTTTTGTTCACACGCATGCTGTACATCATAGACCTACATCCTAAACGCTTTCGCCCCATACCTCAAGCATTCTTGCTCCAAGGATGGTTTCCTTGAGGTCTCGAGGTTACGGACCACTCTTTTGCCTTAGTTAGTCTCGATTGAAGCCCCGGAGCAGGAATTGGGGGCAGTAGGGGCCCTGTTTTTGAGGTTTTTCATAAGTGGAGTGCAGGTTTTTAGAAAGGTTTTCTAGGGGTTTAAATATCACGGCCCGGTTTTTTTAGCATTGTGACTGCCGAAGGTATATTAGTATCACCATGGCATGGAAGCCGCCCAAACCTTGTTCGAATGTTTCAGAGGCCTGCATTAGGGAACAGGGCTAAGAGTTTTTCGCTTGGCCGTTCAGGGCTTGGTGCCCAGGATATAGAGGGTGTGGGACCCTAAACCATAATTTAAACCCTAAACCTTAAACCCTAAACCCTAAATACCACTTAGGCCGTGTGTGGGGAAGGTAGGATAGGGTGTCGGGTTTACCGATCGACGGGAGTTTAAGAAGCTTCTCCTGATGGCAACTCAGGGTACAGTATCTAGGCCTTTGTTGTTCAGCACCACTATCACTATCATATGTATTTCGTACAATGCTGGCTACAAATATCAAGGCCGTTTTGCTCAGTATTGTTGCAGCTAAAGCCTAAGCTTGAAAGCCTCCACCCTACTTGTGGCCAAAATAGCCTACATTTGTAAGGAGAGATGTATAGAACCCATAATAAAGATACCTCAAAAGGTAGGTTTTGCCGGCTGCAGGTAAACCTAAGCCCTCATCCCGATACGCTAAAACCTAAATAAACCCTCAACCCTAAACTTAATCCCTCAACCCTGGACCCTAAACCCTAAACCCCAAACCTAATCCCCAAACCCTGAAAAAGCCGTAGCAGGTCCGAGGGGTACAAGCTTCAAAATAAAGTTTAGGGTTTAGGGTTTAGGGTTCAGGGGTTAAAGCCCTGAAGCTGTCAGTACTATTCCTACCTTAAAGGACCCTGAAGGAAACACGTATACCATCCTCGGAAAGGAACCCTGACCGGAACCCACAAACCCTAAACCCTAAACCCTCAACCCTAAACCCTAAACCCTAAATCCTAAATCCTAAACCCTAAACCATCTCCAGAAAGGAACCCTTACAGGAGCCCTTTAAAGGTACTCGCAGTTGGCTCAGCTCACCTCTGAGTACCTAACCCTTAGTAGGGGGTTTTCTTAAGTTTTTGGGGCGTTTATGAGGGTCTGGAAGGGGATTTGTAGGTGTTAGTCGGGTTGAAGGTTTTTGGGCTGGGTATCTTTCTGGTAAATCATCCCCATGCAACAGTTGCAACCAGTCTTAGTCCGGATAGAAAGCTTTGAAGACAACACCCTAAACCCTAAACCCTAAACCCCAAGCCCTAAGCCCTAAACCCTAAACCCTAAGCCCTAAACCCTTAACCCTATACCCAGAATCGGGGGTTTCTGGGGATGTCAACCATCAGGATCTTGCAGTTGCAGCAAGCGGCTAGAGAATGATAGTTCAAAACCTTGCGTTAATAAAATAATTACCTATGCTGTTTTGAGGGTTCCTTCTTAAGAGTACAGTATCATATACACCCAAACCCTATTCTAATTATGAAGACCCCCATCTTATATGCATCCCCGAGGCCCTTGAAAGAGACATATACAAGTGGGAGATCTCGGAACATGTCTATGCCGCCGCCAAGAGGGACGTCGTTGAAGAACCTTTCATGTAATCAGACAACAGGAGGCTCGCACCACCGAAATCCTGTCTGTAATATAGAAGCCCAAGCAACTACCAATATTGTTCCTCAGGGTTCCTTTGTTACAACTATACCATAAAGGAGCCCAAAACCCTAAACCCTAAACCCTACACCCTGAACCCGAAACCCTAAACCCTAAACCCTATTCTAATCATTAAGGCCGCTAAGTCCGCAAGCCCGAAATTACGCACGAGCCCTAAGCCTTAAACCCTAAGGCCATAGCCAGAACCCTGAAACCCTCAACCCCAAATCCAAAACTTTTGAACCCCTCAAAAGGTCCAGGAGCAAAAGCTCCAGTTTTAGGAGAGTACGACTTACCTCAACGTTAATGAAAAAGAGTCCTAAAGCCTAAATGCTAGGGCATCCTAGACTCTCAACAGAACCTTTATTGATTATAAACTCCATACCAAACCCTAAACCCTCAAATCCTCAAGCCGCCAAAATGCGACACCATCCCAAATCTTGAACTCCAAAACCTGAAAACCCCAGCGTCTGAGGTATAATGTACATCAAACCCGTTCTCTAATTGATGTACATGCGAGCAATTATTGTCAATATTATCTTATTGATTCGTATTGTTATTGTTATTCGTATCTGTGAATGTTATTATTAGGAGTATCATTGGTATTGTTATTCTAGTTCTTATTACGATCGTTCAGAATCAGTATTCTTCTTCTGATTATTACTATCATTATTCATACTGTTATTGAAAGTGTTATTATTGTTATTCTTAAGGCGCCTAGATTACACCAAGCAGGCAGTCAAAGCCACGAACGCCTCGGAGCCTTTAGCGGTGACCTGAGTGGGAGCAGGGTTTCGGGTTTAGGGTTTTGGGTTTAGGGTTTCCTAGGGGTTCTCATGAGGTGTGGGACTAAAGGAGGGACCCTTAAAGGGACCCTTGGAGTTATGTAGGGGCTTTGTGAGACTATTTAAAGGGTATATATGGGTATTTGGATTAGGCGTCCCTTCTAGGGGTCCCTCCTATTGTCCGTTAATTATAGGGTTCAGGGTTTCGGGTTGACTGGAGGGTCTAGGGTGTAGGGTTCTAGGGAAACCGTAAACCCTGAACCCTAAACCCGAAACGATAAAGCTCCCGAAGCCCTAAACCCTGAACCCTAAACCCTAAACGATAAACCCTAAACCCTAATTCCTGAACCGTAAACCCTAAACGATAAAGCTCTCGAAACCCTAAACCCTGAACAATAAACCCTAAACGATAAAGCCCTAAACCCTAAACGCTAAACCCTGAACCCTAAACCCTAAACGATAAAGCTCCCGAAGCCCTAAACCCTGAACCCTAAACTCTAACCGATTAAGCTCCCTAAACCCTAAACGCTAAACCCTAAACCCTGAACCCTAATCGTAAAAAAACAATTGAAACCCTCTCTCCAGTTGTGAGCCGAGCGTTGATGTTGTGGTGACGGCCCAAGAGGTGCTCTTGGGAAATGGAAATCTTGGCTCAGTGCTGTCAGCTTTCCGAACAAAGCAATTGAAGCATCGTTGGACAACGGAGCCGGCACGCATTGCAATAGCGCAGAAGTTGCTAAGCGCGCTCTCTCGACCAGCGATTGCTGTTTGGTGCCAAATGTCCTCCGAACGGAAATCAGTGCCGAGTTTAGGGTTTAGGGTTTTGGTTCAGGGTTTAGGGTTTAGGGTTTAGGGTTTAAGGTTTAGGGTTTAGGGTTTAGGGTTTTGTTTGGAAATGCTCGGAATGGGCTGCTCGAGAAAGCCCTTGGCCCTAAACCCTGCGTGAAACCTGAACTCTGCATCCTAAACCCGGAACCCCAAACCTTAGACTCCTAAACCCTCAACCCTAAGCCCTAAACCCTAAATCCTTCCCAGAATCGACCCTAAGCCCTAAACCCCTAAACCTTCAAGCCCTAAACCCTAAACCCCTAAACCCTAAACCCTAAACCCCTAAACCCTAAACCCCAAGCCCTAAACCCTAATCCCTACCCAGAATCGACCCTAAAGCCTAAGCCCCTAAACCCTGAGCCCTAAATCCCTAAACCCGTAAACCCCTAAACCCTAAACCCTAAACCCCTAAGCCTTAAACCCTAAACCCTAAACCCTTAAACCCTAAACCCCCAACTCCTAAACCCCTGAACCCTAAGCCTTAAACCCGAAGCCCTAAATCCTAAAGCCCGAAGCCCGAGCCTGAGCCTTGCGGCGCTGGCCCTGCAGCCGAAAAGACCTACCTTTGTAGGATTCCTTATTATGGTTTCTAAATGTATCCATATTATATTTATATATATATAATATAGAATTCCTTGAGACGGTAAGTCTTTTGGGCCAAAAAACCCTAAACCCCTAAACC